GGGTTTAGGTTTTAGAGCTTTAGCATTTAGGGTTTAGTAATTCAGCAATTTAGTAGTTTAGGGTTTAGAGCTTTAGGTGTTAGATTTAGGATTGGGGGCAACTGTAGCGATATTAAAGTCCTTACGACCGTACTTACTAAGGCCCCAAGATCCTCCCAGTATCCGTCGAAAATGCAGAGTGCGGATCAGTTTGCAAGAATGAAAAGCGTTGTTGAAGGCCTTGCGGCAGGCTTGATCTTGCCTTTGCAGGTTTATAGGTTTTGGGCTTTGCAAATTTCGGGCTTTGGGTTTATATCTTATATGGTCTTGGAATTAATTAGGGTTTACGATTCATAAACTTGCTTCTTCCGTTTTTATTCGGCTGCGACTGCATGTACTTTTCTGCATGTGGTGGGCTGCAAACGGTTCGTGTTCTGCAACGTGCCGGCTAAGACCCCAGACCTTCCAAAACCCATTAATTAAGGAATATACCTTAAATTAGAGTAGGATCCTTAATACGATTTAAGGTATATTCCTTAATTAAGGGGTTTTGGAAGGTCTGGGACTGTGCAACTTGACGGTTTGAAGGCATGCGTGCGGATTCTGAGTTGTGATGCACTTTAGAAGCCTGGATAAGGGTTACTTCCGATTTGCCTCCGAAGATTCAACGAATAGTATAAATACCCCGAACCCTAAACATGTGGGGCAGTGTGAGTATGCGCCCCCCTCCCCGGTCCCCACCCTAAGGCGGTAAGAGCCTCCAAACACGAGTGCGAGCCCCTAAAGCCCACGTCCTTCGGCCCCAGGTGCGAAAGCAAGACCCAGAGGGTTTAAATTTTCCTATGACCCGAATCAGATGTGTGAGTGTGTGTCTGTGTGTGCGCGCGGAGTTGTGGAAGTCAAGTAGCACCGGAGACATCCGTGTGGACGAAACCCTGAAGTACTAGACCTTAAAGCGCAACACAATCGAAGACTCTATTCTCTCCAAGCCCGATACAAACCAAGCCTCTTTGAGCCGGACACAGCAGAAGCCCAAAATATCGTCCTGCCTAAGATCGGGAGACTCCAGATGCTTGGTTTTGAACCCCAGTGCGATAGTTAGCCTGGCCTCCCCAGTGAAGTGACCTTTAATCCGTGTTTTTTGTGCACGGACCACACGGAGTTCCATGGCCTTTCAGCACACACTAGACGCCAAAAGCTCTATAACCCAAAGGCTCCGAAGTATCTGTGGTAGAGCGTACGGTTTCTAGGATTGATGTTTACTATGGTTTTGCTCCGTTTCCCCCACATAGGTACAGCGCCCCGTGGGTAACGGTTCAGGGCATCGAGTTTACGTTTGAAGCCGACATTCCCCACGGATAGTTACCCAGTGCACTTCAGGTGGTGCTGATCTCTTCAGGCCGCATCCACACATTTTTTTCGAAGGGGAGTTTTCCCCCTTACGCTTCCTTATCAGACCGAGCTATACCATAAAAAAAACCCGCTAAACTCTAAACCCTATTCTCATTACTAAAGGTTCCCATAGTGAGTTTACGGAAAGGTCCCATGTAGCCATGTAGGGTTGCTGGTTGAAGGTTCGACTTCCCCAGAACCGGGATGTAGGGTTTTAGGGTTTAGGGTTTAGGGTTCACATGTGGCCCCAAACCGTACAAAACATAAGTGGTTTGGGGTTTAGGGTCTCCCGCGTGACTGCTTAACTGGGTTGTCCTTTGGGATCTTTTTTGATTTCACTCTTTTGTAGAGAACCATAAAAGTAAATAGTTTTCAGGGGCTTAAAGGACAACTCAGTTAATTAACTCACGGGTGGAGCCAGAGAAAATAGTAGACAAATCGAAGAAGCCACAGGCAAGGTCCTTTTCCCCTTAAGCCTTAAGCCCTACACCCCTAAACCCGAAACCCGAAAGTCCCAAACGCTAAAACCCTACGCCCTTAAACCCAACGCCGTGGAGATCAACCACTTGGGTCCATGCACTCTTTTGGTGTAGGCTTTGGCTTTCCAAGTACGCCCTACCAGGACCTCCCAAGGGCAGTTTAATGGAGCCCTTATGGGCCCTATTACTAGGACCTAGAGTACCAGGACCCCCCAATGAACTTCAATTGGAGGGCACTACAGCTTGATTTATTTTTGTGGGCACTTGGCACGCTAAGTGCCTTGTTTTGTATTTCGGGGAGGTGATATGTTCTTCGCGAAAGTTGAGGAGTTTAAGTGCCGCCTAATAGAAGGCACTTGTAACAAGTGCCCTCAAATAGAGGGGCCTTGGACCCCAAGTGCCCTCTTTTGAGTGCAGAAAACCGTAGGCAAGTGCCCAGCTGGAAGATCTTAAGTGATTGTATCTTTTTTTCGTGCAATAAGCACATGCACGTGTGTATATACGTATGAACACAGCAAATTGCATAAACTATCTATATATATATATATATATCTATTTGTGTGTATACATACAGAGATACACATATATGTATATGCAATTATTTAATGAACCTATATATCTACATACACACATGTTCACCTCAGACTCCCGTCGTACATATACGCAGAGAACAATCGAACGATATGACGTCGCCGATCTCCGTGATGTTTGTCTTCGGCTTAGCTTGTTGCTCAAGAACAGTGGCAGTGAGTGTTTTAAAGCGTAGGTGACACGAGAGCACCAACTACAGTCCACAGGTTCGTACACATGTGCCAGAACTAGGGCTTCGTGAGGCGTCGTGGTGACAATGGCGGCAAAGTTTCTCTTCGCGACTGCGGACGCAACAAAGTATGCAGGCGAAGTCCGGGACTAAAAGCCATTGGCGGGCCTGCGCGTTGCGATCATGTGCTCGTTTCCTCCGGACGCATTCATGATATTTGTATATATATATATGCCTTCATATATCTCTCATTATCTCTCTTATTTAATGAACATATATCTTTTCTACAACTCATCAGCCGGCTCGGAACAAAATGCTGTAGCTCCTGCGCGATGGGCACTTCTGTGAGGAGATCTCAAGAACAAGAGGAAAGCTTGCCCATAACGAGGCAGTCGAAGATGCTGGGAAGGGCCACTGTTTCACAGAACACAAAATGTAGCCGCTTACCCTGTTTCTCTCTTTCCTATCGCCGTTACTTCTTCGTTTGGCCATCTTCGATAAAACTGTGTCTCTCTCTCTCTCTCTCTGTCCCGCCCCTCTTGCCTTTCCTGCCGCTTCTGTGTGGTCTCAACTTGAGACCTTGGAGCACTCGGTCGTTTCATTGGTTCAAGCACGCCGGGAAGGAACTGTCGGAGAAAACTTCTAGCTGCGCAGATGGTTCATGATGTTGCGTGCTCGGATATTCTCATCGATCGCGCGTACCTCCACCCCAATGACTCATGACCACAAGTACATAGTGTATCAGAGCGTCGCAACAGCGACAGCAACAATTGGCGGGGCAATGTCGTGTTGAAGGCCAGGAAGTCTGCGCCGGTGATCATAGGTTTTGCCATACTTACATTTTGTAGCTCACATGAGGATACACTACGCTATGAGAGTTTCCGTATGAACCCTGCATATGTACAACATACCCGGTGCAATCCAGGATGACCCCGCCGGAATGATCAGAGCCGAAACGCGAACTAGCCTTGAATGCCTGATGATTTCGAGTCTCCGGATGGGGCAATCGCCGGTTTGTACGTTTCCGTGACTCCATCCAAGTGGCGAAGGGCTGCTGCTAAATTTCCGGAGGAGGCATCGTTTGTTGGACCTACAAGCACCTCCAATAGAGGGCATTTGGGATTTCAGGTGATCGACGGGCGTGGGACTTGCACGGCAGTTTTGCAACAGGTTGGGCGCGAAAGTGCGTGTCACTGCGTGTCACTGCGTGTCGCCAGAAACACAAGTGCCTTCTAATAGAGGGCACTTACCACAAACGAGGGGACTTCGGTATATCACGAAACGTGTCACTGCGTGTCACTGCGTGTCGCTTCAAGGCCTCCAACCCACATTTTCGTGCTTGCCCCAAAAACAGCCGGTGGAGCTAAATCGGTCCAAATCGCGCTAGAGTCTTTGGTCGCACTATGAAAACATCCGATGGACGGCACACGAGTCGACGCCACTGCTTTTGCATGTCAGTCATGTCGATTGCTTGCATGATCTTGCATGTATGCTTCTGTTTGTACTAAATGTACATAGGTAGGTGGGTATGTAGACACATATACAAAATATACATGTACAAATCATATGTATATATATATATATATACATACATATATAAATACGTAGACATATACCTATGTACAAAATTTATGTACACGAACACATATTCAGAGACAAACAAATACATGAGGGCATGGGCCTGTACTTTGGCATATACTTTCTGGATGGTCCTTCTGTCTCGCAAATCTCGCTGCTGGGCTCCAAAGAGCAGCTGATATACTTTGAAAATACAAAACCCAAGACGGTTTTCAAAGGAAATCCAGGCCACGTTCGCCAGCTGAAGCCGACACATTCAGGAACCGAGGGTCCGGGTGGGCCAAGAAGAACCAGAAAGAAAGCAAAGATACAGACGCAACAGCGAATTGCCAGAAGACGACGCAGACGGAAAGACAACGACGGGCACCAGCAGCACGGCAGAGAAGTGAGGAGAAGAGCCAAGGTTCCAAAGCAGTCGAGGAGGATTGAGAGGGCGAAGAGAGCAGAAACAAAAAGGCTTAGGACCGTCATCCTTGATTTTTCTCGTAGACCGATATAGTCCATCGATTGCGCAGAGAAGCTGACGATGTTTAGTAGTCTCGGCCGCGAGCAGCGACATTCGTCAATGTGGTCCATAAGAGAGAAGCGATCTCCGTCAACAATGGGAACCAGTTCTTCCATTCTATGCTTTAGAGCACCGAGGAGCGAAGAATGAAAGAGTTTCATTCAGGATTTGTTTCGCAAAAGCACTCTAAGTGGTTTGGGCCCCTGAGTTCGATGCGCTGCACAATCTTACGTCGATTCTGCATTTTGCAGCGACGTATTGAGAGGCGACAATTTACATTTATGTTTTGTCGATGTGGCCATGCAACATGTTGGATGCTCTGGTGCTCTGGAAGATAGAACGACGCTGCACAGGCACCCCGCAGCAAAAAAGCTTTCACCACGTCTACGTCCCGATCCCTCCACACCGGTGTAAAGACCGACCACATCGCCTACGACTCCGCGGCGTGCATCAGCCCCCGCACCCGATGATATACATTATATATATATATATACACACATACATATAGACACACACACACACACTTCTATGACAACTTTTTTCTAGCCGTAACAAGTTCACACAGCAGTGCTGTTGTGTATTGCGGTATGTGTATGTCCGTGTCCTCCCGGTGCCAAGTCAAAGGACTGCCGAAGCTGTTTCAGCCGGCATGCCCAGGTTACTGTCTAAGATGCTTCAGGGCTTGGCATCCAGTTGGTGTGAGGAGACAAAGGCTAAGAAGCTTCGACAGTGAGCAAGCAAAGCACCCAAAAATGTGATCACCGCAATATAAGCGTTTAATAGCATTTCTTAGATGTGACCCAGCCACCCCATATATCAAGACTAAGTCCCCTCTTTGGTCACTTTTGGGTAAGTGCCCTTAATTAGTGGGCATTTGTGCGAAAACCTCAATAGAGGTACGTCGGGGGGTGCTGGTAGGCCCTTATTCCCTTTTTTAGGGTTCAGGTTCCCTTATAAGCCCCTTTAAACCAAAAAAGGGCACCCTTTTTTTTCCTAGGTTACTCTTGGGTCTAGATTAATAGTGGGTGTTTGAGGTACAATAGAGTCATTAGAGCGTAGTTGGGGGCTCTAATTCGGGGGGTCCGCATCGCAAGGAGCTCTCTGATGAAGCCATTGCAAGACTTGCGCTGGCTCTGATCGAAACAGGACTGGCAGTCAAGGAGGGAAGCGTGCAGCAGAGCGCTTTCGGTGGTCCATACGAGATGACGTCACACCGCGCGTGGATTGATCACGAGCAAAACGTTCGAGCTCGGTATACCAATGAATCCAAGTTCTTTGCAACATTCCTTCTCAAGGTTTGTCCATCGGCCAAAGATTATGATCACGCAATCGAGACTGGCAGCAGCGCTGCAGAGGCGCTACAGTCTATGATCAAAGAACCGACCCGGGAGCAGACATCTGCTTATCGGTTCCTGTTCCTTGAGGGTCCATGTACCTATATAGCATATATACTTTGGGCCCAATGTATCTATATAGGGAGTACTTTAAGGCCAATGTATATGCTATATGAGTACATGGATCCTTAGGTATTGAGGCATGACGGAAATCAAGGACTTGCAGCCGTGCTCTCTGAGCTACACGGGACATTTGGATGGGAGTGGAACAGCATCGTCCCTGCTGAACAGGGCGATATCAAGTAGGGGTACTTTAGGGCCACCGTATGTACTATGTGATGATCAAGACCGACAGAAGTGACAGAACCCTGCAGAAGATCCGAACCAAGCAATATTTCCTCGACCCAACACTCCTCCACCCGAACGTCCAAAACCCTGCCCTAAACCCTAAACCCTTAAACCCTCAACCCTGCCTGTGAATTCCGATTTCCCGCCTGTCCAATCACGATCGAACCGAGCGTAATCCTTGAGCAGTTGAAACACTGAAGCACTATCTACCCTTCATAAACTTGTGGACCCGAAAACCTGCCGGTTTAAGGTTTGTACCTTATAGTTAAGGGGTCATAACCTACTACTGTGTAGGGTTTGGGGATACAGGGAGGCCTTACAAGTTAGACCGCTGATTACCAAAACCTCGCACCTCAAAAGAGGGTGTTTATGAATCAGGGTTCTAGATGAGCCGGTATTCAGGGTCTGATACCGGGTAGCTGGGCGTTCCACGGAGTTTGTGGGTTTCTGGGCTGTGATGTTCAAGATATATCCCACATAGTGTTGATGGTTTTTTGTACGTACCTACAATCCCAAGTGGACATTACTTGATCAACCCCCTGGGTGTGGCTTCCTGACCGTGGAGAATGGAAACCGTTGATGAGCTGGGGGACAGATACAAAACCTGTGTAGGCCTGGCATGTGAGCTTATACGAAGATCTTATCTTGTTGGACTGCACTACAGGCCCTGGCAGTCCCAAAGCCTAAGCGGTTCATGATCGATAGAGAGATAGCTTCGGGCGTTCGTACGTAATCGTCGGAGGTGAAATTCTTGGTCTTGTTAGTTTAGAGTTTCGACGCGGACTACTGCGAAAGCGTTTGCCATTCCCAGGTTCGGCGGATTTAGGGTTTAGGGTTTAGGGTTTAGGTTTCTGGGGCTTAGGGTTAAGGGTTTAGGGTTTAGGGTCTAGAATGATCGCAGCGACAGGTGCAGTTGGCATGGGCTGCATCAAGTTGGGCATCCCGAAGCCTACCTCGCTGCGCACGAAGCAGGCGAGGGGATGTAGTTTCGGGAAACTCGTGGGGTTCGGCGTACCTATGCAGTAGAATTTGGCATCATTCTTATGATTTGACGTGTATTTGAGAAACGCAACGGGTCCAGCATACCTATAGTAGAATGTCGGGTTCTATATTAGGGAAAGTAGGCTCGGTAAACAGTACGTAAGCCCCATTAGGACCCTTTTGAGAATCGCGATTCATCCGTAGTCCTATAACCCCATGGGCCCTACCAGGACCCTGACCCCGCAAGCACTTGTTGTTCGAGCTCGCATGGTCCCTATTTACGGCGGTGGGCTATATTGAAGGGTAGTTCAAGAGGGTCTAATTAGATGGACCCGGAAAGGTAGGCTCTTTGGTTTCAGGATAGACCTGACCTACCCTAAACCCTAAACCCTACAACTTGGTGTCTCCTCTTTACGCGACAATGGGATTCCTGCCTTCGTTCGCGATCTGCCGAGCTTGGCTTATATGATGATGGGACTTAGTAAAGTAACTATAGTTATAAAGAAGGTAACTATAGTTGTCGTTGCTTATACCCCTAGCCCCATTTCATTCACCGACTTGATTAGTCCCAAGATTCCCCTACAAGGACACATATCTTAGCTGCCGGGCCCAGCGGCGATAATACAGACTCCTGATTCATAAACCCGCTTTCCCTAAGGGCTTAGGGTTTTGGGGTTTAGGGTTTGTTAGGGTTTAGGTATCTGGATCAGGGGAGGCGAAGAAATGGCCCTGAGTCGAGTTTACTGATAGGGTTTGGCATTTTGTGCTTAGGGTCTGGGCTTTTGGCCTTTGGTTTCGGCCAAAACACAATTGACTGACAGACTGCGGTTTAGGTTCGAGGATCGTAAAGACAATGCGACGTTCTCGGGTCTTCAATATACTTAGCGATTAGTGCGTGTACCCTAAGCGCCCGAACCCTAAACCCGGACCTAATCTCTAAACCCTGGACCTAAACCCTAAACCCATGCCCTGAACTCTAAACTCTACTCTAAACCCTAAACCCTAAACTTGAACGCTAAACCCTAAACCTAAACTCTGGACCCGAAGCCCTAAACCTCAAATGTTAATGGGCATTTTAGGATGTCCGGCTCAGGGCAGAGGCTCTGTAGCTTAGTTACATGGCAGTTTATTGGGGCTGACCTGCAGCTCCAAGCCGGTTCTGGATTTAGGGTTTTGGGTTTAGGGTTTAGGGTTTAGGGTTTAGGGTTTAGGGTTGGATTTTGGGTTCAGGGTTTAGGATTGTGGATTGGGGGTTTAGGGTTTTGGATTTAAGGTTGTGGATTTAGGGCTTAGGGTTTGGTCAGGACCCTCTGATTTTTATGGGAATATGATTCCTAAGTAAAGACTTCTACACCAAGGTGGCTATAGGATTTTGATTTCCAGGGGACTTCCATAGTCTGCGAGTTAGCATGAGTCTAAGATGCACGGCAGGCAGTTGCTGCTGCTGGGCAAAGCCAGCTGATGCGCATGTATGAGGACGTGAGGGATCAGTAGAGGATCTAACCCTAAACCCTAAGCAGGCTTACCCGGCTTACCCATGGTCCAAGGGACCTTGAAAGGTACGTGGGTTTAGGATAACTCGGTGTTTTGTATAGGTTAGTATCTGGTAGAGCATATGTTTCAGGGCAAGACAGCGTTGATGCACGCATCTGAGTGGTCGCTCAGAAGTTGCTAAGCATGAACTGAGGAAAGGAGCGCACCCCCTTGTAGACCCTGCGCCCTGAGCCCTCTTCAATGGCAGAAGCCCTCGGCCAATGCCTGAGCCCTAATTAATTACATGTCTACACAACGAAGACCGTTGTCGTTGCTTGTTTAGGGTCAAAAGCTTCTGAGCAGGATCTCTTCGGTACGGTGCGGATCCACGTTGCGCAGCTCCTTCTCAGCCAGTCGGACTCTGCGCTCTGTTGAGGGGGCCTTAATAATTAGAACAGGGTTCGGAGGCCGATTATACTGTACTTTTAATCACTTAGGGGTAGAAATAATTTTGTTACTTTTTGGTTATTATAACTCCTACGAATCTAAGTTCAGTCTAGATCAGGAACCACCCGAATAGTATACTTGCAGGATCAGGGGACTTACAAATTGGGGCTATAAATAGGGATAGGGTAACTATAGTTATGATAACCCCAATTAGGGTACTTATGTCCTTACTAAGTCCGAGGATCCTCCAAGTAGGTAGTTATCAAGGCCCCTATCCCAGACCACCGGGAGGATCCAAAAAGTAGATCCCTTAATGGGGGTTCCTATAAACTACCCTTAGTAGTATAGGGCCCCAAAATAGGGAATCTACTTTCTAGATCCTTCCGGGGGTCTCGGATACTATATTTTCGGCAAGTAAGGGTATCGGACTCTCCTGCTGCGAACCCTTGAAAGGGCCTAGCAAAGCAGATCCGTTAAGAGGTTGTAAAGTAACCTACAGTACCTCAGTCTTTATGGTAGACCTAAACCCTAAACCCTAAAACCCTAAACCCTATACCCTAAACCCTAAAACCCTAAACCCTAAAACCCTAAACCCTAAACTTGGAGAATTGTTGAGTCCCAAAATAGGGAATCCACTTTTTAGATCCTCCCGGAGGCCCTGTTGGGTTCTCTAGGGTTGGGGTTTAGGGAGGGTTTCGGGCTTACATGAAGTTCAGTCAGGGGTTGGTGTTTTCGGTGCCCTGTCTTGGAACTTCAGAGACTCTGTAAAGTTGTTTTTTCCTTGAAAGGTGTCTGAGTCTAAACCCTAAACCCCTAAACCTTAAACCCCTAAACCCCTAACGCTAAGCCCCTAAACCCTAAACCCCTAAGCGACTACTTTATGTTTGGTTGGAAGGCTTTGGGAGTGGAGACGGTAGAGGGTTGAAAAGGGTCTTCGGGCTTTCGGGCTGGAAGTCAGCACCTGCACAGTCTTCATTATCCCAAAAGGTCCTATGTAACTATAAAGTAGAATGTAGGGTTTCCATCTTCGGAATTATTAGTATGACTTAGGGAAGTATGCCCCATAACAGCACAGTCCTAGTGTATTCAGTCAGACTCGTCGAGTCTGGGAAAATTCGGACCTCTCTCACGGAGCACAGCCCCAGTACGTCGACAGGTCGCTCTGGTTCGACGGGTTTGATACTTGGTCGTTGGACTACGCTTGCTGAAAAGCTTGTACTGACAGGTAAACTCACCCTAAACCCTAAACCCTAATCCCTAAACTCTCAATCCTAAATGAACCCTAAACCCTCAATCCTAAACTCTCAATCCTAGACTCTCAATCCTAAATGTTTCGGTTATCTCAGGCGTTTAGGGTTTGAGGCTGAGGGGCCAGGGCCGAATCTGATTGCAATGGATCCTCAGGCTTACGGCTAAGCTATCCTAAGGCTCCATAGTAGTTCCGTTTTGGGATTGCCTTATAGGATTCTATATATGAGCCCCGAAAAGGAACTACTATGGAGCCTTTGGGTAATGAAGATTTCAAGGACATGGTTCCCCAACCCTCCAACGCCAACTTCGTTTCCGGCTGTGCTTCTTAGGACTAGCTATAAGCCCTCAACCCCAAACCCTTTTATGAAGCCTTTGCCTACGCCAGGCAAACCCCAACCCCTTCAGCCAACCAAAAATAGGACACCAGATGTCTATGCAGCCTTCTGGATTCAGTTTTGCCCCGATATGGTGTCGTGTTATTTCGGTGTCTTCTGCATTGAATAGAGGAGACAAAGGGTACCCTCGTCATTATTGGGTACAGCGGAACTTCGGTTTTCAAACTGTGATCTCGGGTCCTTTAACTATTGTTGTCCGAATAAATGCCAATACTATTCCCATGCCTTAGGGTTAGATCGTATTATGATATCCTACAACATACCGCCCAACCCTCGTCTCAGCCCCTTATACTAGGAGCCTTCATGCGTACAAAGCCAAGGATTTCATGCAGAAGGAGCACTGGACCAACGTGAGCCTTGGCAGGTTGCAGCCGTAAGGGTCCAAGGGTAAAAGGAGGGACCCTTAATAAGGACCCCTAGGTATATACCCTTAATATAGCTATTATGTACCCATTATATAGCCCATTATAGGGTAGGGGTCCCCATTTAGGGTCCCTCCTTTTCCGCTTTGAGCTCAGTCCATATTTTTATACCGCCATCATACAAATGAACTCTAGCAAATACTGTTCGTCGTTATGTAGAGGCCTCTACTTCTTTTTACTTAGGGATCAGGAGGCCCGAAAAGTAGGTGGTCGAGAGGGTCACGATTAGGACATGCGCGACCCGAGTTTAGGATAGTTGTCAATCCACTGTAAGCTAAGCTCGAGGCTCTAAGATCCTAAACGCCTTAACCCTAAACTCTAATCCCCTGACCTGAACCCTGCTTCCTAAGCCCCTGAGCCTTCAAGTTGGGGTTCTGAGGATCCTATCGAGTGGGACTTCGGGCCTGACATAGGGGCCTAAACAATTATAACAGGGTCTTGGGGTATATTATATGATAGAATAAGTATAAAGAGGAACCTAAGAAGTAGAGTTGGTATGTATGCAGGCTTCTACCGTGCTTAGGGTCTCCGTTGCATTGGTATAGTGAGGACCCCATACGGTAACCATAAAAGGGACTACCATGCAGACTATGGGTATTTCGGGGTTCTTGATTTTTTGCCCTCATGGTACACCCCAATCCCTTTACCTGAACCGAGGCGCTGATGTAGAACCGATCCATGCGTCCCAGTCTCCTCATACCGGCTATTGTCGGGCTGACCCGGAAAGACTTACGTAGCGGTTCAAAGCGCAGCTTTTAGCTTTTGGGGGCTCTGATAACTGAGTCTCGTTATGAACGTTTGAAGTTTTACTACCGTCGTCATTTGGCAAGTCTGAGAATTCACTGAGAATCCGAGATCTATCAACCAGGGTCCAACTTAGTAAATCACCAAACCTGCAACCTCAAAGCATTGGGCTCAAGGTTCCAGGGGCTTGGCCCTAAACCCTGAGCCCTAGATCCTACTTGGAGGGTCATGGGACTTGGTAAGCGAGTTTTCTTGTATATTAGTTGGGGTTTTCGGGAAATACAACCATACTAGGTATCGATTTGGGATGATTTTACATTTCCGTCGTTGCTTAGTATAGAGCCCTAAGTATACATAGTTTTGGGGATTGTTGAAATCGTCACCTAGTATTACAGTTGCATCATTTATGACTCCAGTTACTCAGTCCCATGACCCTCAAAGTAGCACCTGAACTGTTAGCTTTTGCAGCCCTTTAACACCTTAACAATCGGGCATCTGGGGGGTTCTATAATACGATTGTGTCCGTAGATTTTGGGAATACTTACCACTACAATTTCTGAGGGTTCCTTTAACATAGCTGTACCATACTCCCGAAGGGTCCATTTACCCAAATAGTATATACTTTGGCCTTAGCGTAGTGGGGCAAAAGTACATACTAATTGGGCACATGGACCCTTAGGGACTATGCCCCGAACTCCTAATCCCATCCCGGCAGCTGAGCCTAAAGCCCCTAATACATGCCCAGTATAGGGGCTTTTATAGTTACCTATGTTTTTTGTGGGGCTCCTTATTGATACTTACAGTAGAACTCACTAAAACCCCATTCTAATTGCTAAGGCCCCTATAGTAAACCTTTTCGGCAGCGAAGGAAGAGTACGATCATGGAATGCCTGGCTACTTGGCATGTCAATAGGCTGTCAGTGTCGACTGCCGGCTTCAAGTTCGCTTCCCCTAGGACGTACCCCAAAGCTCAAACCGTGAACTTTCAAGCCTGACGCCGGAATTAAACCGGCACTGAAGCCTTAAAGCCCATTCCCTGAATTAACCAAATGCGGTCTGCTTGACGACAGCTACGCGATCAAAGGACTTGGTATATAGGAAGCAAACTAAGTCAGAACTAGGACAGCCCTCTTGGGGATTCATATATATATATATATATATATATATATATGACACCTGTATGCTTATATATATGTATATATATATATATATATATATACAGACAGACAAACATACATATGCATACGCATACACACATAGACACATACATATACATACCCATACACACATACACATACGCACATGCACACATACACACATACCACATACACACATACATATGCAAACACCCCTACACGCATACACACACACACACATATATATATATATATATATATATATATACTTACATACAGACATGCAGACATACATACGTATACAATATATAGACATCAACCTTCTACTCATAGCTCGTTTCTGGCCCCAATGATCCTTCAAGCAGGGTCAGATTGCTTGTAGGTGGGCTTTCGAACTCCAAAGCTGCGAACCCAAAGAAGTGAGGAAAAAGGCCCCTAAACCCTAGAACCTTTAATCCAAGCCCACCGAAATGCGGATCTTAAAAAACCCATATAACTAGAATCCCTTGTAATTTCGAAAATCCCAGAAAACGGTATCATCAGTTATCAAACCTGAACGCAGCCAAAAGACCTTGGAATACCTCCATAAACGTGCTGATCCTAAAAATACAAGGCTCGCTGCGTGCTCACTAACTCCCCGTCCCAAACCAGGAGTACGGCATGGTCCCGAAACCCTCTTCTCTATAGCACCCTTGAAGGAGCCCTAAACCAACCAAGTCGAGGCCACGTCCATCATCAACGAAGTAGAAACACCCTTACATCAACCCGTATACTTGGAGGATCATGGGACTTAGTATTTGGGGTTCTGAATAGGGTGACTACAATTACTGATAACCTTACTTACGAAGTCCCATGATCCTCCAAGTAACCCAGAAGTCCAGGCCCTGGGTGTGGTCCCCATCATCAACGAAAACGACTCCACCAACACGGCTGAGCTCCGGTTCGGCGACAATGACCCTTTGCACTCGTTCTTTGTGTATAGCCATAATAATTTGCGGGGGCTCATGATTCTCATTAATACACTATCCTAATCCCACCAAAACCCGTTCTAGTTAGCAAGACACCTACATGACTGTATGTTTGCCAGGTGTTTATGTGCTGCTATAAGGTTTTAGAAGGGCCTTGGCAGGGCGCTTTACGGACGTTACCAGGTTTTGCAAGGGCTTCCTAGGGCTTTGTCAGAATCGGCCTTGTCCTTTTTCATGGTTCCCCCAAAAGAATAAACAGACCGGATAGTAGACCTTATTAAATCATTCCTACTAAGGGATATAGGTATAGTCAGAATAGGTTAGCCAGAGCTTTTGGTGTGGAGTGTCGTCCTTGTTGCTTCCAGGGTTCTTACTCGAGGTGTTTTGTTTAAACTGCCTAGGGCTCTATTTAAGGTTCCGGGGAAGGGGGGGGAATCGAATACGGCCATGTTTGCCCAAAACGCAGATTCTTGCCGAGTCCCGACAGCCAACACAAACAGCCGGGCGACCAGCCTGCAATCCCGGAAGTGCAAGCACTGAACCGTTATCGGAATGCACCAAAGCATGCCGCTGACGCTATTTCCGCTTCAGGAAGATTCCTGCACTCAAGCAGTATTGGACCGGAACTCTCTATAATTCTGAGATATTTAGGGTTTAGGGGTTTAGGGGTTTAGGGTTTGGGGCGAAGCAAACTGACTAAACCCAACACCCTTACAACAGGCTTGACCCCACCCCACCCCAGCATGCAAATCCTCAGCAGCACCATTCGGACCTACCTAAGGTCCGTGTAATTACGTTTTTGGGTTAATTACCTTATAGGATCCTGAATGTAGCATTGCTTGAACAACGAACTACAATGGAGCCATATGGAGCCTATGCCTATACGGAGATATATAAAAAATATATAAATAAATATATATGGAGATATGTCTATATATCCATATATCTGCATACATACATACATGCATACATATATAAATATTTATGTATGCTGTATAACCTGATCAAGAAAACTGCCAAGGATAACCTCGCTGCTCTCACAGCAGTCCAGCTGGAGGCTGATGCGCTGTGCCACCCAGCAGCTTTATTGTGTGTGCGCGCGTGTTGTTTGTGTAAGTCTGCACGTCTATTTTTACGCTGCAGTCTTAGTAGGGTATCCGTCTAGAGGGTTTATGGGTGTTGACCAAGGCTTGTTTACGGATGTCAGCTGCGTCTACACCGCGAACCCGCGGACGAATCCGGATGCGAAGCCTTTGCATCAAGGCGACGTTAGACGGCTACATGAGCCGACGCCCTTGAACCCTAAACCCTTCAAAGCAACCCATGAACGAACCCGAAACCCCGAAACCCTAAACCCTTGAAGGGAATCCTTAAAAGCACCCTCAATCGGAACCCATGCAGATCCCTTTAGGAGCCCTTATACGATCCCTTTGAAGGAACCCCTTGCGGGAATCCTTGAAGGATCCCTTAAAGGAGCTCCTATAGGATACCTTGATGGAGCACTTAAAGGAGTCCTTAAAAGGAGACCAAAGCCTAAACCCTAAACCCTGAAGCCCTAAACCCCTAAACCCTAAACCCGTACAGTAAGCCCTAAACCCCTTAAGGGAGACCCTTAAGACTGAGACCGAACCCTAAAACCCCCATAGATCCCTTTAAGGGAAACCCTATAATACCCCATGGTACCCTACAGATCCCTTTAAAGGAAACCCTAAACCCTGAACCATAATGCTATCCAAAAGCTGAGGCACATCGTGCCGGAGCCCTGGGCCGCTTGTCCGCGCTATAGGCCTCCAGGGCTTCCTTTAAAGGGGCCCTTAAATGGGCTTTAGGGTTTAGGGTTCAGGGTTTAGTTTAGGGTCTAGGGTTTAGGGTTCAGGGTTTAGTTTAGGGTCTAGGGTTTAGGGTTCAGGGTTTAGTTTAGGGTCTGGGGTTTAGGGTTGAGGGTTTAGCTTAGGGTTTGGGGTTTAGGGTTGAGGGTTTAGCTTAGGGTCTGGGGTTTAGGGTTGAGGGTTTAGCTTAGGGTTTGGGGTTTAGGGTTTAGTTTAGGGTTTGGGGTTCAGGGTTTAGTTTAGGGTTTACGGTTTAGGGTCAGATTAGGAACCCCTGCAGATCCCTCAGGAGCCCCCTATAGATCCCTTAAAGGAGCACCCTATAGGTCCTAAACGGGGCTTCAGGGTTTCCTGCGTTTTAGGGTTCAGGGGTTTGGGGGTTTGGGGTTGAGAGGTTTATGCAGGACGTCTGCGGACCATCCAAGCGAGAAGCATGCCAGGCGGAGGTTTAGGGATTTAGGGACTTTGGGTTTAGGGTTTAGGGTCTGGGGTTTGGAGTTCAGGATTCAAGGTTTTAGAGTAGGGTTTGTTTAAGGGTTTAGGGGTTCTGGGCTTAAGGGGTTTATGGTTTCCTCTATGCGTCCCTTGTCGACTTCCGTTCAGGGTTCCTTTCAGGATTCTATGACTATGGGTTGAAGGTTCACGGCTTTAGGGATGAGGCTTCAGCCTGAAGGGTTCTAGTCTTTGGGAGGTTCAGGGCTCAGGGTTTCCGGCTTACAGTATCCTTTAGAAGCTCCTTGAAAAAGGCTGCTCCGATAGGGGTTCTTGTTCTATTCATTGAACAGTGGAGGTTGCAAATCTCGCGTTGTTTGTTGAAGTTTCCGTGTCATTGGTGCTGAGTTTACTTGTAGAGATGGGCCTGCATGGGCTCGTGGAGCCACGCCTGCGTAGATGTCAAGCGTTGTGGAAGTGAGTGTTTGGACCTGATGTTTTTGTTGTGTGTGTCCGTGCATCCGGTCAGGAACAAGCATGGTGGCGTAACAGCGACACGCTTGGGGCCACAGGGGGCAGAAGCAAACCGGGACAGCAACAACAACAACAACAACATGATGGCCGTGAGTGTTCCCCTAGCTATGTGTGCAAAGTTTGCCTTGTGAAAGCAGCTACACAGGGTGTTTTCTGGGGGGTTACTGCTTAAAGAAATCCATGATTGGGGAACGTGCCATGAGGGTCTGTACCGCTGTTCTTCCCAACTAGACCTCCATCTCCAGACCCTGCACCCTAAACTCCAAGCCCCAAGGCGTAGTCGTATAATCTAAAACATCTTATCCCTAAATCCCGAACCTTAGATTTTCTAGAAAATCCCAGTAGAAAAACCGAATTATTCAAACAAAAGCTTACGTTAAGGGTCCCTGAATCATGGCCGCCTTATGCCTGTGCTTTCGGTTGACGTCCGCGTTTGAGGCACTGCGAGTCGAGACAAAGGACCGATGTGCCGTGTTCGGATTGAGGGCTCGGGGCGCTAAGCCCTAAATCCCATGACCGACGGCATAACCCAGACCTTCCAAAACCTCTTAATTAAGGAATATACCTTAAATTAGAGTAGGATCCTTAATATGATTTAAGGTATATTCCTTAATTAAGGGGTTTTGGAAGGTCTGGGAATAAGGAGACCAGGGTTTGGGGTGATTTTTTCTATATTTCGAATAATAAGGAACCCCCAGAATTGTACAGGTAATTACTCAGGCCACTATGAATCCCAAGCCCCGAACCCTAAACCCTGTAAACCGTAAATTCTGGATCCTGAACGATCAAGCTTACAAGGCTGGTATAGGATAGGACCCAAGCCAGGAAGATGCTAAGTACCTCTAAGGTACCTACAGCCAACCCCATAAGTTGGAAACCGGATTGAGGCCAAATACTGCTGGGATTCCCTATACATTACTCTTCGGGATCGGGGCTATGGGGTTTCCAACTTTTGGGCTTCTACTATAAACCCTAAACCCTAAACCCTAACCCCTTTATATAACCCTTATCGTACCCTTGTACTAACCCGTTAAATGAACCCTAAGGTACCCCCACTGTAAGGGTGTACATGGAGGGGATACTTACACGGACCATGCCTTTAGGCTCAGGATGTTCCAGAATCATCGTCGAGTGTGGTCTTTGGGTCTGACAGCCTTAAGATATGAGCCGTGAGAGCATGAGAGATGATAACAAGAACTAAGTACTGATGTACAGTGTAGAATCTTGGGTTCACTGAAAGGTATAGCTTGGGGTTTAGGGTTGAGGGCTTGGGGTGCAGCTTAGGGTTCACTTCAAGGTACCGGGCTTAGGGCTCAAAAACTCAGTCACAACGACAGCGATACTGCCATATAGAACTCACAAACCTGTCGTTTCTGCGACATCTAGGTCGAGGGGCTTAAGTGCCGCCCACCTTTGATGGCGGGCGGCCTAAGCCTTGAGTTTAGGGTCTAGCGTCTAGGGTTTAGTTACACGGGCATAATTAAGGTGTGATAGCTATGTACCGCTGCGGTCCTGGCCACACCGCTTCCTCCTGCTTGGAAAACAACCCGACGGCGTGGCTTGCAACCTGCGTGTGCAGATTGCACGAGAGCTCCTGGACACACCTGCCCATGATCTAGAAGTCAACGCTAGAAAGATGAAGGCGTTGTTCCATGCCGACCTTTTGGAAACAGCCCATTCCGGGCTTTTGACGGGGCGGCTGCGGGTGTGTGTCCGCACGGTTGGGGTAATGTGGAAGGCGGACAGCCGAGAATGTGAACGCATCAACAAAATGCTGAAGCTGTTCACTGAGAGGGGTCCGACCTCGTCCGCCGAGCTTGTTTCCAGCCGAGCCTGCATAAAGCACTATCTCGGAGAGGCCGTCGGTGCGGGCGCAACCGAGTTGCGACGGAAATGGTCGCACTCATAACAAAGAGGTGCTAACCACTGTCATAGGTTTTCTATTCCAGAATAAAGGGGTGATAGCCCCTAAATCTTACAGAGCATCAAGCCCTGGTGGCGTGCTTTTCGTGTGTTCATGTTCTCACCTGCACTCTCAGATGGCAAGCTCAGCAAGCTCTTCCCTTCCAGCATCTAGCATGCTACACTACGGTTGATGATATAAATCTTGCATTACCTTAAGGACCCTAAACTATGGGAATTATGGTATATTCCTTATTATGAGTAATGCAGGATTTATATTATGAACCGTATTACTATCGTTACGTTAATTCGCAACCTTGGTTGCCACGGCCCACAGCCCCGAACCCAGACTCGGTTCTGGAGTACTCAGATCCTTTGGAGTTTTAGGGTTCTGAGATTTTTACAGTTTAGGGTTTAGAGTACTACCTGAACCCCACGTAACCTACCTTTTTGAGGACTTATATAAAGAAATCATATTAGGGAACCCTAAAAAGGTAGGTTCCTTAGGGTCTAGGTAAGGCTTAGGGTTTTGGGGTTGCGGCGCTTCAGGACCTGTTGGGTTTCTCGGACGTCTAGGGCTTTTAGTCAGCGTTTAGGGTTCCTCCCTGGATCCTTAATTGTCTTGGAGTTCCTCTGGTTGGCTCTTAGGACTGTAACTGTTTGGGTTTCTATATGAACTATAATAAGGAGGCTAAAAGTTTAACTTTTAGAAAGGGTTCAGAAGTCAGCTCAGCTGTAGTTTGGATGTGTGTGTGTGTGTGTGTGATTCTGCTGTCCCCTCATGATGGGATGCTAACTCTACTAAGATTGTGCGTGTGGCCTAAGTTAGGATATAGATGTTAGTACCCCCCCTTATAACCCCGCTGTAACCCCCTTACATCTTTGCCATTCATGTAGTAAGTCCCTACTAACTTGGGGGAAGTTAGTAGAAGGTCGGTTGGAAGAAATAGAAGTTACTAACTTAAGTTAACTTTTTAGCTAACTTATTCTAACTTATGTTAACTTATTCTAACTTTTTTTGTTTTATGTCGGTTTTGTGTTAAATGGTTTTCGTTGTTTGTCACTGATGCTGTTCTTTTCTGTGCTCCACAAAGATAAGAGCAGATGCTATGGGCTTAGGGGGTTCAGGTGTTTAGGACCACCACCATCACCAGCACCAGCACCAGCATCAGCACCACCACCAGGGTTATAGGGTTTAGGGGGTACAGGGTACGGTGTGGAGTGTAGAAACACTATCACCACAGCATTCACCAACACCAACACCACCGCCGCAGCCACCACCACAACAACAACAGCAGCAACAACAGCAACCACCACGACAACAACAGCACCCTCACCAACATCAACAACAACAGCATGTCTAGGACGTTAGGAACACCACTAGCGCATGTTTAGAGTTCAGGGTAGTTTAGGGGCTTGGGTTTGGGGTGTAGGGCTTGGGAAACCTCCGCCAGCACCACCGCCAGCACCAGCACCAGCCCCAGCGCTAGCGGAAGTGCCAGCACCAGTACCAGCACCCACCAGCACTAGCACCAGCACCAGCACCTAGCACCAGCACCAGCACCAGCACCACCGCCGCCGCCGCCCCCACCACCAGCACCACCACCACAGCAGCACCACCAGCACCAGCACCACCGACACCACCATCAGCAACCCCCACCGCCCGCGCCACCACCGCCAGCACCACCCCCGAGTTCATAAAGCCAGGAACCAGGCCGGATAAGTTCAGAAAAAGTTCATATTTCCAGGCCTGAAAAGTTCATAAAAAGTTCATATTTCGTGGCCTGAAAAGTTCATAAAAAGTTCATATTTCGAGGCCCGAAAAGTTCATAAAAAGTTCATATTTCCAGGCCGGAAAAGTTCATAAAAAGTTCATATTTCCAGGCCGGAAAAAGTTCATATTTTTAGTGTTTTATTGGTATTTACAATGAATCCAAGCCTGAAAAGTTCATATTTCGAGGCCTGAAAAATTCATAAAAAGTTCATATTTCGAGGCCTGAAAAATTCATAAAAAGTTCATATTTCGAGGCTTGAAAAGTTCATAAAAAGTTCATATTTCCAGGCCTGAAAAGTTCATAAAAAGTTCATATTTCCAGGCCTGAAAAGTTCATAAAAAGTTCATATTTCCAGGCCTGAAAAGTTCATAAAGAGTTCATATTTCCAGGCCTCGGAATTGGAGCCGGCTAGCACTCCACCCCCTGATTCGCCCCACCACCACCACACCACCCCACCACCTCACCACCACCCCACCACCCCACACCACCCCCACCACCCCACCACCCCCCACCACCCCACCACTCCCACACCACCACCCCACCCCAGCCCGCCCTTTACACCCCACCCACCCCACACTTTACCACCCCACCCCAACCCACCACACCCTACCGCCCCACCACCCCACTACCCGGTGCGTGGGGTGGTGGTTGGTGATGTGGGTGGTGGGTGGTGGATGGTGGGTGGGTGGGTGGTGGGTGGTGGGTGGTGGGTGGTGGGTGGTGGGTGGTGGGTGGTGGGTGGTGGGGTGGGTGGTGGGTGGTGGGTGGGTGGCGGGTGGCGGGTGGCGGGTGGTGGGTGGTGGGTGGTGGGTAGCGTGGGTAGCGTGGGTGGCGTGGGTGGCGTGGGCGGCGTGGGTGGCGTGGGTGGCGTGGGTGGCGTGGGTGGCGTGGGTGGCGTGGGTGGTGTGGGTGGGCGTGGGTGGCGTTGGTGGTGGCTGGTGTATGGATGCAAAGTTTTGCTGGGAATGGATTTGCCGCATTTTGGTGTGGGTGGTGGCTGGTGGCTGGTGGGTGGTTGGTGGTGGCTGGCGATGGCCACCGCCTCACCACCCGCTACCACCACCCACGACCCCGCCACCCCATCGTTGTTTCTTTTAACCCACAAGTTCACTTTTGCTAACTTATGTTAACTTTCTTTGACTTATGCTAACTTTTTATCTAACTTACCTAACCCCCTAGTAACATCTATATCTTAACTTAAGCCAAACGCACAATCTTAGTACCTCTGTTCGACCCGACAACAGGAGCTGGAGGGAAGAGACGGTTGATTCGTTGGTCTTCGTGGTGACTTAGTGTACCTGTATCAACGAAGGCCTACGTGCTTAGTGCTCCCTTTGATGTTTGTAGTTTGGCTTCATAGGGCTTCCAGTTACAATCGTGCTGTGATACACCTCAGTTCCCTATTCTAATTTGACTCCACACCCCAAACAAATATTAAGAGATCAGTAGGAGTTGGGTTGGCTAGATTCTGTTGTTTGCGAGGATGCCGGCAGCGGACTCGGCACGGGTGGTATGGCCACGATGCTCGAACACACAAACCTTATATGCTCTAAGTCCTTAAACCCTAGGCCCGAAATCGTGACCGAAAGGTTGCTAAGATTAGGGTTGAAGCTTCCGGGATTCTACGGGTTATAGGGATGGCGGTTTGGGTTAGTGGTTTGCGGTTGGGAGCGCGGGGCTGTAATGGACTTTAGGCTTCAAGGGTATACATGAAGCTGTTAGCTGAGTCGAATCCCAAACCCTTTAGGTGTTAACTCCCCCCTCTCGGATATGTCAAAGGTGAGGTGCACTCACCGATGTTGGACAACGAAGAAGAGGTCCAATCGAACGGGGCCACTCGTGAGGACAACTCTAACGGATGGCGGCTTCATCAGATCGACCGCCAAGATGCTGAGTCGTTGCGCTCCTACTACGGATTCCTCCCTTGTAAGGCTCGCTCCTGCACGCGCAAAGGCAGATCAGAGTCCGGTCTTTGCTGGCCGTGCTGGAGGATCAGATATGAACCATGGGAGCCATTTGTACGGCCCGAGCGCGCACCTTGCGCATCAGAGAACTGCCGCAACCTGCCAGAAGAGGGCTCTGACCTGTGCAATCATTGCAGAAGAGCGACGCCTGCACCCAGGTTTCCTGAAGCGCCATGGTGCATAGTGTGCAAATGGTGCATAGGCTCCACATATATGGGAGTCTGTGGAGCATGCGCGAAGACTGCCCGAACGGGCTAAACAGCACCGACCTACCGTAAGCGTCCAAGTAGTCCCTATTTATGGTTTTTGGTACCTAACTAATGGGCTAGGCCTGAACCCCACGTAACCTACCTTTTTAAGGACTTATATAAAAGAAATCATATTAGGGAACCCTAAAAAGGTAGGTTCCTTAGGGTCTAGGTAGATTCAACCCAGCTTGTTGGAATCATCTGAGCCTAGTATGGCGCCCATGTTGCAAGGCCCTGCCTGGACCGCTTTTCCACAAAATCCTCTCTCCCGACTTTAAGTCACGTCTCAGGGGACGCGATACGTAGAAGTACCCTATATACATGGGGTTATCCAGAGCCGATTCGCCGCCCCCAATTAATTACTTAAATCCGACTTGCCAAGTCCCCTCATCCTTTCAGCCGTTTTTCGGGACGGAAAACCCGGACAGTGTATGCCCTGGAATGTGGGTGACTGGACCCTCTAGACAGACATCTGTCCAGGGGTTCCAAATTGAAACTGCTTGGCTGTGAAATAGCGTAAACCTTAAACTTAAACTCTCAACCCTGAAAAGCCCTAAACCCTGAATCCAAATTCCGACGCCCTAAACCCCAAAGGCCAAAAAGCCCGAAACCACAAGGCACGAAGCTCTTGAACTTTGTATTGAAGAAGAGTTTAGGGCTTGTGGTTTAGGTTTCATGGCTTACTTTAGGCTCGTAGTGTTTTCGACTGAGGGTTTCGAGACTGGGGTTTTGGGCTTATGGCTTTTGGTTTCCGGCATGAGGCTTTGGGCTTACGGTATACCTGGACCCTGAATAACCTACCTTTTAAGGACTTATATAAGGAAATCATAAATGAGGAACCCTTACGGATCCCTCAAAGCAACCCTTACAGGAGCCCTTAGGGGAACTTTTAAAGGAACTCGTAAAGCAGCCTTTGAAGGAACCCTTAAAGGAGCCCGTAAAGGAACCCTTATGAGGAACCCGTAAAGTAGCCTTTGAAGGAGCCCTTAAAGGAACCCCTGAAGGAGCCTTTAATGGAGTCCTTACAAAGGCACCCCAGAACGGTAGGTTTTGGGGGGCTTAAGGTAGGGAAAAAAAGGGACCACACCGATCCCAGGAAGATCTTGGCTGCGCGCACTGCCTCTGTCTCTGGCATCTTGGCAGGGGTTCAGTGTGAGTTTTCATGGTGAAGGGCTTTAGGGTTTACTTTTAGGGTGTTAGGGTTTAGGTTTCAGGGTTAAGGGGATTTAGGGATTTAGGGTTTAGGGTATAGTATGTTTTTAGGGGTTTTCGTGGTTTTAGTGTTTAGGGTTCAGGGTTTTAGGGTTTATAGGATTACCAATACTATTCCTTAGCCAGGGTTCCTCAAGATAAGTATGCAATATTAGGTATGATATAGGTTAGAACTATTGGATAATATGCACCCAACCCCTATTCTGGATATTAAGGCCCCTTAGATTATCTGGCACCTTGGCTCGAAAGTCTCTTCCTTACTGACTTAGGCTTTCAGGGTGTTAGGGCCCCCCTAAACCCTAAACCCTAAACCCTAAACTCTAAACCCTAAACTCTAAACCCTAAACCCTAAACCCTAAACCCTAAACTCTAAACCGAGTTAGGGCCTTTAGAGGTGTTAAGGGCATTTCGGGTCTTCAGGGCCGCAGGGTGTTGGGGTGTTGTAGGGCTCTTCGGTTTTAGGTGTTTAGGTTTTGAGTTTTGTTTTCTGGTACCCCTGTACAAGAACTCCGTTTCGTTCGAGTTTCGTTCGAGATATGGCCGAAGCTCTAATAAACTGTTTTGGGTTTAGGGCTTTGGGTTTCAGGGTTCAGGCTTGTAATAGGGTTTAGCATCTAAGAGCTTGTTTACTTTTGGGTTAATGGGATTAAAGGCTTCACAGGATGTCCTACGGATTGACAAGGCTTCAGTGAGCCCCGGATCCCCATAAAGAGAGCCTAAACCCAAAGACCTTACAGAAATCTGGAGTGTATCTTAGAAGGGGCCCCCACCCTGTAATAGTGGTACAATAGGAATATAGTAGGGCCCCAATATAACCCTTATAGTCACGATTACAGGGTGGGGGCAGCTTCTAAAGTGTATCTGTGTTGCGTTGTGTTGGCCACTCTGTCGTCGTCATAAGTACCACCAGTAGTTGCACATTGTGTTCCAAACCCTTTACCCCAAGCTGAGCCGCAAACCCTCCTAGTATGCTCCGAGGTACCCTTGCCAGAGGCTTCTTTGGTCTTTAATCGTAGGTATTAGTGGTTGTATATATATATATATATGGCTTAAGGACAGAGCGTAGTTGGGTTGTCTGGGTGCCTACATCGCTAGCACAAACCTCGGTAGCCTAGATCCTTAAACCATCATCTCCCCGAGCTCCTATAAGCCTGGATGAGTGTGCGGTTTAGGGTTCTATAGTCTCCTTAGGAATTTTTTATTTCATATAAAACCCATCAGCAGTTCCTCGCCGTGAGATTGTAGTAGATCCGACTGCTGAGGCCTTTTTCGGAAAATGGGCGGGTCCTACATCAATTCATGAGCTCTAGCAAACCCTCAACCCTAAAAGCCCCTGGAACAGCACGATCCCACGCCTTCAACCGAGAACCATGGCTCGACTCCCACCCTTGTCCTTTTAGCAATAATAGACAGAGCCCTATACCTATATCCCTTAGTAGGAACTATTTAAGAAGGTCTACTAGCCGGTCTGTTTATTCTTTTGGGGGAACCATGAAAAAGGACAAGGCTGGACACCATGAGCCATAGTCCGAAACCCTAAACCTCGAGCCCACAAGCCCCAAAAAGGTATACCTCAATCCCACACCCCAGAAGCTTCCCGAAAGCCCTGAACTCTAAACTTCAGGAGGTAAGTGTCCTAAGTAAGTCCTACGGTTGATGATATAAATCCTGCATTACCCATAATAAGGAATACACCACAATTCCCGTAGTTTAGGGTCCTTAAGGTAATGCAGGATTTATGTCATCAACCGTATAAACCCCAAAAGCCACCAAAAGCTTTAACACCTTAACCCTAGAATCCCAGAAGGTATCCTAAGCTTTCTAAACCCTAAACCCCGAAGCCCCGAAACCCCCCAAACCCCTAAACCCTAAACCCCTACACAACCTAAACCCGAAAAGGCATCCCCTGCGTGCTGCTGAACTCCAGCTTTCCCAAGCGCCTTTTGGGGCTTTTGGACTTCGCGCCGCCGGAGGCTCCGGATGAAGCGCCTCGGAAGAGTTTTGGGTTTTTTTGGTGTGCCTTTAAAGGGATCCAGAAGGGTTCTCTTACAGGGATCTATTAGGGGCTTAAGGGGCTTTTAGCATTTTGGGGGTTCAGGGGTTAGGGGGTTTAGGGGTTTAGGGCCTTTTGGGGTTCAGGGTTTAGGGTTTACGGGTTAAAGGTTCAGGGTTTAGGAATAATCAAGGGTTTAAGGGTTTTTGCGGTTTAGGGGTAGGAGTTTAGGGTTTAGGGGCTTTCGGCGTTTAGGGTTTATGGGGTTTAAGGTTCAGCCTGCAGGGTTTAGGGGTTTGGAGCGCCTGGGTCGAAGAGCTTGTTTAGGCTTCTTTTACAAGGCCCCTGCAGCGGATTCGCTTCAAGACTTCCTTGAAAGAGTTACCATAAAAGCTCCTGTGAAGGCTAGAAGGTTTAGGGCTTAGGTGCTATGTCTTCTGTTATATTTGAATGTAGTTGTTTTTTATCGGCATTTACCCTTCTACTGTCTAGTCATGCAATGCAGCCCCGAAGAGTCCTACGTAGCTGTATGGCGGATACTTCCCAAACCATAGCTGTAACTTCTACTATAGAAACCCTCTATTCTACTCTGTGGCCTGTGGCTACTTGGGACCCCTTGGAAGTGTGAACCACATTCCCCGCAGAACCCCTTCTCCGTAAAACGAAACGCTCTTCGGGAACGTGAACCCTAGGCTGGGTTTTTGTTAAGGAGTTTGATTGACGTTACCATAATAGGGATCTATAGTAAACAATATGGTAGTTTCCAAAAATAGGGGACCCTAATATTACCCAAAATAGTAGGATCCTTATTATAAGGACCCCAAAATACGGTACCCCTATTTTCGGACACTCCCACATGATGTCCTATGTTGGTCTTAAATGCATCCCTTAACAGGAAGCCGGTACGGTTCTGCTCAGGTGAAGCTGCCGGAGGAGGCCACCTATTTCATGGCAATGGCTCCCTGGCGGAAAGCTGTGCAAAATAAGAGTGGTTCCTGCAAGGGATCTGTTTAGGGGCTTAGGGGTGTAGGGTTGAGGGGATCTTCTAAGTGTTGAGGCTTCCATGAGGGCTTGGGTTAGGGGCAAGAGGTGTTCGGACGAGGTTTCATCGGGTTTAAGGTTTCTATAGACCCACTCAGCGATTAGTTTACAACCTGCAGGAAGGCACTCTGCAATGATTGCGTTCAAGATAGCCCTAAACCCTTGAACCCTAGGCCTATGGCCTAGGGTTTGGGCCAGTAGGTGGTTATCGTAGGATTGGAAAGAGGTCGAAAGTATTCAGCGGATAGTGGGTATGAGGCGTGCCAGCTGAGGGTTGAGGTCTTGTTTTTTTGCTGTGGACTTATGAGCTTTGCTGATGCCTTAGGGTTGAGCGGATGTGGCTTTGCAGCTTCAGGAGCGTCGTTGGCTTAACAGTTTATTGTTATCCCCGAAACCCTGAACCATATTTAAGGCTAGACTCTCTAAACCTAAACTCCATAACTCTATACCCTACCAAAGCCTCCACCCTACTTAGGCCAGAAGCCGAGGATTGCTCGCAGACGGTGCCACAGCACACCCTAAACCCTAAACCCAAACCCTCCATCCTGGATAATTAACCCTAAGGGTCCAAGTACCTAAATAGCAGGGTTTCAAAGTCCAAAAGCCATTCAGAGCATGTTTGGGATCTAAAACCCTACGATTTGGGTACTTGGACCCTCTGGGTAAGCCAGAAGCCGAGGATTGCGCGCAGACGGTGTCACAGTACACCCTAAACCCTAAACCCAAACCCTAAACCCAAAACCCTAAACCCAAACCCTCCATCCTGGATAACTAAGCCAGACCTAGGATTGCGCGCAGACGGTGCATGACACCCGCCGCTGGATCGTTTCGCTGCCGGTAGCTGGCGAGCTCACCTTGGACGATGGCGCTGCCAGAGTGCCTGAGATCGATATGGGGGTTTCCGAAATAGGGGTACCTTATTTGGGGGTCCTTATAACACCTTATTTTTAGGATCCTTCTAATTAGGGTCCCCTATTTTCGGAAACTCCCATATGTTTAGGGGGTTTGGAGTTAGGGGTGTAGGGTTTAAGTGTTAGGGTTTAGATGTTTTAAGGGTTCTGAGATCGAGATTTCAAGGGGTTTAGGGTGAAGTATGGGGTTAAGGGTTTAGGGTTTGGATGTTTTAAGGGTTCAGGGCTAAGGGTTTAGGGTTAATTAAGTGCATATGGGGTTAAGGGTTTAGGGTTTAGATGTTTTAAGGGTCTAGGGTTTAGAGATTTCAAGGGGTTTAGGGTGAAGTATGGGGTTAAGGGTTTAGGGTTTGGATGTTTTAAGGGTCCAGGGTTAAGGGTTTAGGGTTAATTAAGGGCATATGGGGTTAAGGGTTTAGGGTTGTTTAGATGGTTTAAGGGTTTGGGGTGTAGAGATTTCAAGGGGTTTAGGGTGAAGTATGGGGTCAAGGGTTTAGGGTTTGGAGGTTTCAAGGGCATATGGGGTTAAGGGTTTAGGGTTTAGATTTTTTAAGGGTTTAGGCTTTAGATAGTTCAAAGGGGTCTAGGGTTTAGGGTTAAGCGCATATAGGGTTAAGCAAGGTTTAGATGTTTAAAAGGCTTGGGGTTCAGGGCATATAATATAAAGGGTGAAGTAAGGTTTAGATGTGTTAAGGGTTTAGGGTTTAGGGCATACAAGGTTAAGGGTTCAGGGTATAGGGTTTAGTGATTTAGGGTTTCGGGTGATCTCTATATAAGCTCTACGCCCTCGTCGAACTGTAGAAGATGAGCAAACGATCGGGGGCGCGGTAAGGAGGTCATACGTAGAGCTTGAGGACAATAATCTTTAGGGGTACTTAGAAATAATTTTTTATTTTTGGACATTATAATCCCTAAGAAACAGCTAACTAGGGTTCTAAGTTCAGTATAGATCCGACTCAGTGCAGAACCCAGAACAACTCTACCTGTGTATGCGGTATGCCTTCTCAGGCCATTGATCCTTCAACCTAATCCCTGAACCCTGAACCATTCAAGCAGTCCCCCATCCCAAGCCGAGCCTCTTAGGGGACCCTGGAGGATATAGACCCTCTCAATAAGGCCCTTTGTAAGAGAGCCAGAAGTAGGGTTGAGAAGGGGTACCTTTAAGGGGTCTCCCTACTAATACTACCTACCTCAGTAACCCTAAACCTGAGCCCGGAGCCTTTCGACCCTAGAGCCCAAGCTCCCCAAGGCCCGCCTTAGGGTTTAGGGATTATCGTTTAGGGATTAGGGTTTAGGGTTTAGGGGATTAGGGTGTAGGGTTTAGGATTTAGGGTTTAGGGTTTAGGATTTAGGGTTTAGGGGATTAGGGTTAAGGGTTTAGGGTTTTAGGGATTTGGGGTATCAACCTGGGCCACTTCTATAGGTTCTAGGTGCTGCTATTCTGACAAAGCTCCTGCCGAAGTATTACGAGCTCGGTATACCCGGGCTTCCAAAGCTCCAGAAGTAAGGAGTTCTCCCGGAACCACAGGAGGGTTCTTTGCAAAATTTGTCAACTAAGGGGTTTTGGAAGTTCTGCAAAGGCACCCATTGCACTCCAAGACCGAACCTGAAGAAGCAGGCCCCTGCCTGACCCGATCCCATGACTACCATGCACAACAGAACTACGCAGAACATTCAAGCCTTTCAAAGTTCTTAGACGGGCTCTAGAACGCTTATCATAAGCTTTTAATATAGAAGCATATTCAATTACCAGCATCATTCTTTATGGCTCCTTGAAATAATGCTTCGACAATATGCCCAAGCCCTCCTCTGATTGCTACTGCCCCAATACTAAGTATGTCAGACACCGCTTTGAAGGGGCGCAGGGGTGGTAGTGGTGGCAACCCTTGAAGCTCTTACAGGTTCTACATTTGGATTAATTATTGCAGGGTTTTGCATTCTAACCGTTCCAACCCTTGCTACCTGTGCAAATCTTGAGCACGAGCCGTCCCCCCTAAACCTTAAACACCTAAACCCTGATCCCCTAAACCCCTAAACCCTGAACCCCTAAACCTCAAACCCCTACATCACTAAACCCCTAAACCCTAAAGCCATAAACTCCCAACAGTCCCAAGCACCCTAAACCCTGACTCCTGAACCCCTGATCGCATAAACCCCTAAACCCTTAAGTCTTAAGCCCCTGGCTCTTTCCCCCCACATCTCAACCAACCCTAAACCCTAAGTCCTTAGTTGCGAGGCCTTGGGTGCGAAGAAGAGTCTGCTCCCTGCAGGCGTTCGGCAGGTGCAGGGCACGTCCCCCGCATGCAGAATACAGGGGCCTCGGTCAGTGTGCGTTTGGGGGGTTTAGGGTTTGTATAGGGGTTTGGGGTTTAGAGTTGTGCTTAGAGGCCTTGTCAGCGTGCATTTGGGGTGTTAGGCTGCAGGGACTCAAGCAATACTTACGTAAGGTCATGGTCAGTGGTAGGCAAAGAATGTTGATGTTCTGAAATAGATTACCCAAACCCCTGAACCCAAAGCCCGCTGTAGGTCCGCTTAAAGAAGGGACCATTCCCAAGACACTTCTGTAGAAGGAAATCAATATCAATTTTGCGTTTTGGCTGTGTTGCGGACAGGTCAAACCCGCGTTTTGGCCGTGTATTCGTAATTATAGGAGCACTCTCAGGCTATATAACCATTTCCGGGACCTCATTTCGTTTCCATTCCGCTGAGTGCACCAAGCTGTTCTCAGTTCATTTGCTGCAGAGAACACGCTCACCCATATGTTGCTACAACACCTACTCCTATGCCAGGAAGTGAAACCTATGGCTCCTCAATCTCCGTCACATCCGCCGCAAATGCTAAACCCTAAACGCTAGCCAAGGTTCATGCGCAATGAAGCTGTGCGGCTCTGCCATGCAGGGAGCTTTGGCGAACTGGTAGCTGAACTCTGAAGGGTGCCCCTTAAAACACATCCCTTGAAAAGTTTCTAGGTTTGTGTAGGCCCCCGGTTAAGAAACTTCTTTCCTTAGTGGGATCTTAAGACTGAGCGCTTCAAACTTTAAAGAGCTGGGGTACAATAATCAGCTGTCTACCGTTTGTTTTCACCTTCAATGAGTTTGCGATGTCTTCACGTCACAGCCGAAACCCTGCCCCAAGCCTTTTTCAGCTGAGTGCTGAATACTACAAGCGTTCTACAAGGATTCGCACAATGCAGGCTTTTACCGAAACCCTCAAACTAGAATCTTTAGACTAAGGAATCTGTAGTGTTTAGGGTGGTTTCAGTACATCTGGGTTTGGAGTTTGCTTTTACGGTTTAGGTTTTAAGGTGAGCTCCTTTAAAGCTCCTCTAAGCCCTATAAACCCTAAATCCCGAAACTCTTCAACCTATATACGCCCTAAACCCTAGGAAAGCCTAAAGCCCCGTACAGATCCTTTAAATGAACCCTTATGGATCCCTTCGAAGGAACCCTAAAGCCCTAAACCCTAAACCCCCTAAACCCTAAACTCTGTAATGCCCTATGGTACCCTAAAGATCCTTTTAAAGTCAACCCTAATCAAGGCTTTCGCTAGCCATGCTCGCTCGAGGTGCGTGCTTCTAACAAAATTGCGTGCTCGCTCGCTTGCGCAGCACGCCTCATGCCAACAAGCAGCCGGCGCAGACAAACGAGCGAGCACCCAAAAATGTTATAAGCACCCTCCCCGAGCGAGCATGCAAAATCGACGCTGCTTTTGAGGCCTCAGACTCGCCGTAGAGGTGTTTAGGGTTTGGGGTTAGATTCCACAAAAATCCAATGCATGCTCGCTCGAGCTGCGTGCTTCTAACAAAACTGCGTGCTCGCTCACTTGCGCAGCACGCCTCATGCCAACAAGCAGCCGGCGCAGACAAGCGAGCGAGCACCCAAAGATGTTAGAAGCACCCACCCCGAGCGAGCATGGTTAGTGCAAGCCTTGACCTAAACCCCTAAACCCTAAAATACCCTGTCCTATAGATGCTTTTAAATTAAAGGAAACCCCCAAGGGTCCAACTACCTAATAATCATATACTCTCCAAAATCCTAACCTACATAACTACTATCCTAAAACCGAGTACCTAATTATTCGGTCCTTTGGACCCTTGGGAAACCCTAAACCCTAAACCCCTGTTATAGTTGTGTTGTACTTTAGGGTGGATGAAGGTCCTGGTTAACAAGGTTTGGGACCACAGGCTCCTCCAACCATGGAATTTCGGATGTTTGTGCAGACGGAAAAGAGCCCATAAAAAAAAATAAAAAACTAACCCCCAGGAGCGAGGTTGCACGCGGCATCGTCAACTTTTCCTCGGAGCAGTTGCGGGGCCCTCTGGGTTTACAGTAGAAGCCCATAATTTGGAAAGCCAGTAGCCTCAATCCTTACAAAAATTACAGGGAACCCAGAACGTCCTGCAACTCCGAGCTGCAAAGTCACTACTGTAGGAGCCTAAAAGTTGGAAACTCAATAGCCTCAACCCTTAAGAGTACAGTAGCCGCCGGAAAGTTGGAAGGCGGCAATTGGAACGGTTGATGCGGCAACGGCATCTTCCAACTTTGGGTTTGACTTGGTCCCATCTTCCAACTTTAGGTCCCGGCGTTTGGACCGGTTGATGCGGTAACGGTATCTTCCAACTTTCGGTTCCAGTAATGCAGAGAGAGAAACCGCAATTACTTCGACCGCTCTAGTAGTGCTGAGAGAGGGAAACGGCAATTACTACGACCACTCCAATATTGCTGAAAGAGAGAAAGAGAGAAACTGCAAGTACTACGACCGCTCCAGTATTGCAGAAAGAGAGAACCTGCAATTACTACGACCGCTCCAATATTGCAGAGATAGAGAGAGAAACTGCAAGTATTACGACCACTGCAGTATTGCAGAGAGAGAAAAGCTGCAAATACTACGACCGCTCCAGTATTGCACAGAAAGAAAAACTGCAAATACTGCGACCACTCCAATATTGCAGAGAGAGAAAACTGCAATTCTTAGCACCGCTCCAGTGTTGCAGAATTACTACAACCGCTCCAATATTGCAGAAAGAGAGAAGCTGCAAACCATTGCCGCTCCAGGATTGCGGAGAAGAAGAAAAATTACAATTACTCCAGTATTCTAGTGAGAGAGACGGAGAAACTGCAATTAAATATTGGGTCTGGTTGGTCCCATCTTCCAACTTTAGGTCCCGGCATTTGGAGCGGTTCATGCGGTAATCAAAAGTTGGAAGGTTGCAAACTTGGAAGAACCCAAAGTTGGAAGATGTGTTTCATTCCAATTGTGGGGTGCTGAAGTTTTGGGTGCGCATCTTCCAACTTTGCGGCTGCCACCATAATGTATAGGGAAACCCTGCACTATTTGGCCTTAATCCGGTTTCCAACTGTATGGTGTTTACCCTAAACCACCAAACCCCAAACCCCTAAATCATAGGGACCCTTAAGAGGGTAGGGGGGAGTGGGGTAGGGGGCCCTGAGTACAATAAGGGCTTAATAATTAGTAATAAGGCCTATTTAAGGAAATATAGTCCCCTCCCCACTACCCCCCTAAGGGTCTCTGTGACTAAACTAAACCCTAAATCCTAAACCCTATTTGGCTTTTATCCGGTTTCCAACTGTATGGGGTTTGCTTCAGGGGTTTGCGGGGGCTTCGGGGGTTTAGGATTCGGGGTTTAGGGTTTAGGGTTTAGGGTTTAGGGTTTAGGGTTTAGGGTTTAGGGTTTAAGGTTTAGGGTTTAGGGTTTAGGGTTTAGGGTTTAGGGTTTAGGGTTTAGGATTCGGGGCTTAGGATTTTGGGTTTACAGTGAACTCCAGAAAGTTGGAACATGGGCTTAGGAGGATTATAGTAGAATCCCTTGTGCTTTACGTCATGGGCATGAGGATACTCATGTTCCCAACTTTCTGGCTTTTCTACTATAGGGGTTCAGGATTTGGGGTTTAGGATATCGGGGTTTCCGGCCTTTCTTAGGATTAGAGAGGGCTCATCAAGTGCTGAAGACGAGGTTTTCAAAAGGCCTTCTATGAGCTCCATCAGGGCCTTGGTTTTTGGGATCGAGGAACTCGTAAATAGGCTGTAGATCGGGGCATGGGTACTTGGGGGATCAGGGGACTTAGTAAGTAAGGTTACAAGTACCCTAATGGGGGTTATAAGTTTTTATCAGTATAGTTACCTTATTCATCACCCTAGTTACTAATTAAGTCCCATGATGCTTTAAGTAGGCTGTAGATCGGGACATGGGTACCCTAAATGCTCGGTTGTCAACAATTTCTACGTCGGACTAGAGCCTGAGGGTTTAGGGGTTTAGGATTTACGGTTTAGGGTTTATGATTTAGGCCCGCCCCCACCCTTGAAATGTTTGGGAATGGTGCCTGTTTCGGGTCATCTGCGATATTGATGTTTCTATGTTCCATGAGAGTGCAGTCAGTTGTGCATTTCAGGGCTGTCACAGGTGTAATATAGGGCCTAAATAAGATACTAATACCTATTTTGTGGTTTCCTTGTTATAACCATGGCATAATATGCCCCCAAAATCTATTGCAGTTGTGGTTCTTAAAAATGATTACCTAGACTTTTTGGGGGTTCCTTATTATAAATATATAGTATAAGGGCCCCAAAACCCTATTCTAATTGATAAGGCCCCTACAGAACAGTCTCCATAAAGTTGGAAACCGGATTAAGGCCAAATAGAGCTGGGATTCCCTATACATGACTCTTGAGGATTGAGGCTATTGGGTTTCAAACTTTTAGGCTCCTACTGCAGTGACTTTGCAGCTCGGAGTTGCAGGAAGTTTCGGGCTCCCTGTAAGGATCCTTCATATGCAACTGCAAGATTGCTGGGAGTTTCCGAACATAGGGGGCCCTTTAAGGGTTCTGTAAAGGGTTTAGGGTCTAGGGTTGGGAGTTTCCGAGAATAAGGGATCCTAATATAGTACCCTAAATAGTAGGATCCTTATTATAAGGACCACCGCCCAAAAAAGTGGTTGACGTATCTAAAAGCCTGAATTGGCTGAACTATGCCATTCCTTGGGCCCTTATAGTGTTGGCATTATTCTTCTTCTTACCGCCACCGTATCATATCCCCAAAAGCCCGATTTTGATTGTTGAGCCCCCTGTACTAAAGGGCTTTCGCATTGTCTGCCGTCCCTTGGGGCTGATCCGTATAGAAGACCTGAGTCCAACGCTAGCCCCAAGGGTCCAAAGGACCAGTCATCGGGTACTCGGCTTTAGGATAGTAGATATGTAGGTTAGGATTTTGGAGAGTATATGATTATCGGGTACTTGGACCCTTGGGGTAGCCCTTATGCGCAAAACCGTACCACCCTGCATCCCCAAACACCTAACCCCGAAAGATCCCTAACCGCTACACCGGGTTATTGTGGGGACAGCGTGCTCGTGGATTCTGCACCGTACCTGTACGGTCGGGTCCCAGATTCCTGTGAGCCCCAGGTCGGCATGCACTTCACCTATCGTCTCCGTTGTAGTTCCTTTTTTTGGTTAACCCAAAGCTGTATTATGGGATCGTAACCATAAACTTGGTTAACCAAAAAAGGAACTACAACGGAGACTATAGGTAGATGGTTGCTGACAGAAATGGCGTCGTGAGTGCATCCCCTCTTCTTCGGAGGGGAGTCATTTGGTCGATGAGCCTAAGGGTTTTAGGGTTTAGGGTTTTAGGGTTTAGGGTTTTAGTGTTTTAGGGTTTTAGGGTTTAGGGTTTTAGGGTTTTAGGGTTTTAGGGTTTAGGGTTTAGGGTTTAGGGTTTTAGGGTTTTAGGGTTTTAGGGTTTAGGGTTTAGGGTTTAGGGTTTAGGGTTTAGGGTTTATAAGCCCTAAACCCTATACGCAGCTCGTCATCGGCAGCCTTTTTCTCCTGCTGCCGTGTCACGACAAGGGCTCGCATACGCGAGCTCAGCACAGCGACAGCCGTCGCAGCGCAGTTGCGCGAACACAGCACGCAGGAGATGCAGCCGCTGGGCGTGCGGTTCACGGTTGAAGTTTCGGAGGACGGCATGCAGCAGGACTCGGCCGTCACCACAGCAATGCTTGCCCAATCCTGTTGGGAAGATGCTGAGTTGAGACTTGTATTTCCAGCAGCTTGAGCAGTTTGTCTGCGCTGGGCGATTTTCCATGCTGTGACCTTACTGATGAGGCGGGGCTCAGGGTTGGGGGGGGAGGGGTAGATGTTATAACGGGGTTCGGGCCCTAGACTGAACCCTGCGAGCTTGAACCCTAAGCCCCAAAACCCTCACAACCCTTAAAACCCTAAACCCTCAACCCTAAGCCCCCCTAAACCCTAAACCCTAAACCCTAAACCCTAAACGGTTTAGGGTTTAGGGTTTAGGGTTTAGGGTCAGAACGTCTCTGAGGTCTCGAATCTTGGGCAAGAGCTCCCACGAGTTCGAAGATCTGCTGGGCTTCTCCACATGCACCGAGGCTGGGCGACTGCAGGTGCTCGGTTTAGGTTTTGGGGAGTAGGGTTTGGGGCTTAGGGGTTTGAGGTTTTGGGCTTTAAGGTTTTGGGGTTCAGGGAGTAGGGTTTAGGGGTTCAGGTCTTTGGGGTTTAGGGGTTTAGGCTAGTCTAACTATCAAGGCCCCTGTGTTGAAAGAGCATAAACCCCTTCCTACACTACCATGAAGACTCATTCTTAGATCCCCAGTACCTAACCTTGAAACTTGTTTGGGTTCTCATATAGTTTAGTAGGAATCGGAAAGGTTAACCTTTTATTTCTGTGTCTTTTTGGGGAAGTAAGCATCAAACAAAATCCTCCAGACAAAACGGCCGCGGGGTTTCCGCTGCGAGGGTCGCACTGGATTGGTACCCGCGAGAGATCCGCTTAAGAGTTTACGGCCCCTAGTATATTATAGTATAGTGTAGTGTATTGTAGTAGAGCATAGCATATTATAGTATATTATATTCTTTAATATTAACTTTATTATTATGTAGTAGAGTATAGAACATTATATTCTAGTATGTATATATTATAAGCCCTAAACCGCAAGCTGAAAACTCTGAAACTTCAAGGCCAGGAATGTTAATCACCACAGCCCCAAAGCCCTACATTGGCAGGCCATCTACCGTGGCAACATCATCCTGACCACTTCCGTGGAAGCGCACGGGCCTCAGAGAGTATGCAGTGTTCTCTGTTGATTGTTCTTTGGCGGGCTTTGAGGAGATTCTCCTATATGTGCGCAGTTGGTCCTGGACTCAAACCACTCTAAACTTAAACTTACTATGCCATTCTAAACCCTACACCCCTAGGCCCTAGACCCTGAACCAGAAAGATTGCATAAGGATGCATAAGCCGTTGAGATCTTTCCAGGAAGCTTCGACCCACGTACTTCGGCTGCAGGAACACGAATAGTAATTACAAGGTTTATGGATTTTGCCGGTTCCGGATTTCGGCTGAATCTAATTCGTGTGTAGTTTAGTATTAGGTGCTGATTCGCAATCATACGGAATAGTATTGGCAGGATGTGAGCACCGTACATGTAGTCACCCAACCCGACCCCTAAACCCTAAACTCCGCGAGTCCAGGCATGCGCCCTTAAGCCTACTCAACAGGATTTCTCTGGAGTTTGCGGTGAAGTGCTTGAGGTTACGGTATAGGGCTTTAAGGTTTGGGTTCTGGGCCTGGTACAGTAGGTCAACATTCGTATCGAAAATTTGGCCGGCAACTTCATAGCCCGAAACCTTGTTTCAACACCCTCAGCCCTAATCCCTAAACCCTATAAACCCTTTAAAGGAACACTAAACCCGTTAAAGGAACCCTAAGTCCTAATCCCTACACTCGAAACCTTTCATGAAATCCCTGCAGGCCCAACCCACAAAGCAGAAGCCCCACCTGGCAATTAACGCAGAGGCCAGTAGAATGCGTAGAAGCTGAAGGCCAGGTTTAGGGTTTAAGTACTAGTAGCATTCCTTCGGGTTCCGTATTCGTATGCTTGAACTGTGATACCCCAAAGGCCCACCTATGTCTTCATTGTAGTTCCCTGTTTAACTAAGGTCAAAGGTCATAGGATCCTTGACAATAAAATTGGTTAACCAACAAAAGGAGCTACAATGGAGACTATAGGCAAAGCCCCATTCTTTTTTTCATTGAGGTCTCTAAATGGAGCCACTTTCCCCAAAACCCTAAACCCTACGGCCCCTAAACTAAGCCACGTTCACGTGCGCAGGCTTCAGGCGATCGAGGTGGTCCCACGGATGCGATCTAGCTTCTCCGCGAATCAGGTGACGTCTCTTTCCCGCGCCTCGGTTAAACATGGTTTCAACATCTGCTCTTCATATCTTAACGTGTTAAGGCTGAGGACCCTAATATGCTTACGAAATCAAACTAAGGACCCCGAGCCTTATACTTTGAACCGAATCTAGGGAAACTTGCGTAATAGTGATAATACAACTACTTATCTGACGGGGGGGCTGGGAAGGTACTTGGATGGGAAGATACTTGGATGATCATTGGACTTAGTAAGTAAGGTTATCATACCATAACTGAGTTTATACGGCCAGTTATAAGTAATTGTAGCTGCACCTGTATACACCCCCAAAAGTTAGTAACATAGTGGCCCAAAACCTATAGAAAAGCGGCTTTTTTTCCTACATACTTCTGGGGGTCCGGGTTCTAACTTCTTTTAGTATAAAACCCTATACCCTAAACCCTAAACCCTAAGCCTAAGGGGGGAAGGTCGGATCTAGGGCTCCGAACCCGCACGCGTAAATCGTGAGCATCAGTCCACGCTGCCTTCTTTTCTAGTCTCCATTGTAGTTCTTTTTTTTGGGATAAACCAAAAATTGTAGTACAGGAAGCCGAGCATAAAATTGGCTAACCAAAAAAAGGGAACTGGAACTACAATGTAGCCTATAGGTAGATGTTGATTCTGGTCCTGGTTTCTTGGACAGCTGCCACACGAGTCCAGGGCTCGAAAGCTATTCAGGCAGTTTCTCAATCGGTAGTTGTTAGGGTAAAGATGGGCCTGTAGATAGATGTGGACAGGGCACCGGGCACTTAACATCCCACACATGCATCCGGAGTATTCAGCAAGGTTTCCCAAGGTGTGTGAAGGATTGGTGATGGTTTGGGGGTTTACCTGCAGGATTAGGGCAAGCAACATGTGGCTTGTAAGACGGTTATGCTCTCCTTGATTCCTCAAGGGTTCCCTAAAACTCTGAACATAGCATAATCCATGAGGTCACCCGTACATAATTATCCCTTTAAGGAGATGGTTTACAGGAACCCTAGGCTAATGATTTCTGGTTCAATCACTAGGTTTTTGCATTGGGTCCCGTGGACGTCCTCCGAGGCTCCGACTCCATGGATTCGGGTATGGACCCGTGAGCCGTGCTCGCGGGCGCAGGGGAGGATGCGAAGTAACAGCCATGAGCCAAAGCAAGCAAACAAATGTAAAGGTGTAGTTAGGATGTCCTTATCTTATTGCCTTGTTTGAAGCGGATTCTGGGATATCCCAACCGTATAGTGCTCCTGGTTCTGAGCTTCGTAAGCTCCTATGGTGTACTCGTCCGTCTTCTGGTTGTTGGGAAGTAGGACCGTGGTTTAGGGTTAAGGGCTTGGGCCAAGGTCCGACATTGAGCATCATCCCCTGCACCAGGCAGTACCTACGAAAGCCCTTCGGTACCAGACTGGTCTGAACTATCAATGGTAAGTTCCGTGTCTACTCCGTTTGTAGACTTATCTTGGCGTTCTTCTGGTTGGCTCTTAGTCTTAGGAAATTAACTTTTTGGGCTTCTATGTGAACGATAATAAGGGGGCTGAACGTTTGACTTTTAGGAGGGGTTCAGAAGTCAGCTCAGTTCCCGGAACATGCGATTCTACTGATGAAGGGGCCTCCAGTACCCATGAATCCTATCTCCCCAAGCTGTGTATCCCAATTCCAACAAAATCATCTAGGCCGTAAGCCGTTAAACCCTCCTAAACCCTTAGTCGCTTTAATGACCACAAGAATTGTAGCAGATGATAGCAATACTATTAGTAATCCCTTGTTTGGTGATGTTACCAATAACAGCAATATTGGTAACGGCACTCCGAAAACAAGAAGGGTAGGACTAATGGCGATTGGACGCAGTGTTGACATTGATCATCTCGATCCGCAAGATGCTTGTAGAGCCCTTAGAACTCTCATAAAGGCCCTGGAATCCTGAGAGGATCCAACACGTAGATCCCTGAAGGGCTTGCCGGACAGCACCCTGTATAAAATAGTATATAGATTCCCAAATTTGGGCTTCTACGAGGGGTCTGGGGGTAGAACCCTTCTGAGAACGCAAATCATAAGGGACCGTATAGAGACCGTCTGTCGCGCAACAAGAGACATTTTGCACGGCCTTTGTAGGGTCTACTACCCCTGTACTCTATAAGCCGTAAAGCTTGTGAAATTAAAACCCTACTCGCCCTGCCCATAATCAATAAACCAGAAACGGAACAGTTGACTTGTTTGAAGGGCTTTTGCAGGTCTGACCCGGGCATCTCTTGTGAGAGCGAGCTTGGCACCACCCAAACTAGAACATCCAAGTAACCCCTCGCTCGTACCAGATCTTTCCGGACGGTTCACAAGATGCATAGATGGCCCCACACGATTAGTGGACGCCGTTGCTTCTTGTATCCTCGCAAGATCACCCAAAAAAGGCTGAGCGTGCTTCTGCATCGCGGTTTAGGGTTTTACTTAAGAGAGGGTCAATCCGACGTTGGATTTGGGGGTTAGGGCTGACCCACTCAACATTCCAAACCCTGATTGTGCAGTACTCACTGTATCCGAAGCCCACCACTCTGCATACCATTGATCAGATTATGTGCTATGAGAGGCCTTGAAAGCGGTTGGGGGGGGGGGGGGGGGGGGTTGCGTTATTGCATAGTTATGTTATGCACGGACCATATACAGGGACATGGCAAGTAAATCATCCTGCCCCTATATGCAATACCTTAGACCCTACACCTTTCAGCCTAAACCCAGTTACAGTTGTGTGGCATGGACTCGCTAGACTAGGCAGTCATTCTTGCTGGACAGCCCTCAGACTTCAAGAAATTTGGAGCCTGGAATGCTGCCAATTCTCTTCCTTAGTGTTCCCTATCATGACCATGCTATCAAAGAGTCCCAAATACTTATTCTAACACCTGTAGTATGCAGATCAGATCATGTCTTTGTCGCAAGCCTCTTGACTCTCTTAACTCCTAAGAAGACAAGATTTAGGGCTTAGGGTTTGGGCCTTGCAATTAAGCTTCATACCACCCAGGCACTGCAGTGGTGGCGGCAGCGACGAGCCTACCAGGCCAGATGACTGAACGATAACCCGAAGGGTCCAAAGGACCCAATAATCAGGTATTCGGTTTTAGGATATGTAGTAGTTTTGTAGGTTATATAGTATTTGGGAGTGTATATGATTATTGGTTATTTGGACGCTTGGGGTAATACGCATGCAGGCTGCGTTCGGTTTAGGGGTTGTTTACTGTGTAGAATTCGAGCAGCAACAAGGGTCAGCAGTATGCTCGGCGTGGTAATCGGCGCCAGTACTATTGAAAGGCATTGAGGATCAGGGCACTTCGTAAGTTGGTGCATCGTAGGGCTTGAACTAAAAGAACCCCCCTGTAGGGTACCTCTACCCGGAAAACTCTACTTGCTAAGTCTCCTCATGCTTCATATGCCATAAGCCATAAGTCAGTGGAAGAGACGCCCGCTGCCGCGACCCAAGCCTAAGCAATGCTTGCCCAAGCAGAGGCCCACGACCCTAAACCTCAAGCCCCACAAGCTAGTGAACCGTAATAAAGCAACCCTACACAACCTTTTACAGGAACCTCTCAAAAAGAACTACAGGAACCCTTCAGTACCTCTTGGTCCTATAGGAACCCTTAGAGGGACCCTTAAGGAGCCCCGAACATGGTGCTGTGAGGTACGGCACAGTTCCAGCAGCAGGCTTGGACACCGCGGTGGGTCGGCTTTAGTCGCATTCTGGAAGGGATTCTCAATGATGTTCAATAGTTTTCAGGCGATGAGATAGTAAGTATGTATACGATCTTCTTGCATACAAAAGCCGGCAAACTTGGCATAAGGTGCCACCTTGGGGTACAAACTAGCCGCACTACTCCTGCATAGCCTGCAGCTTACCCACATGTCTTACTGCTCGTCAGTGGTGCACGTAAAGGTATGGTATGACATTTCCAGGCTACATTCTATACGAGTGCCTTTGGTTCAGGTTGTAGGGAGGGCGGACTGGCTTCGAATTCATACAGTTCATGAGGTTTGGAGTGTTCTGCTGGTTCAAAACACCTCATGAACAGCTGCGAGGTTTTGGCGTCAAGGGTGCAAAAACGCCTGCAAGTACTGAAAAACCCTGTGCACCACCCTGTGCAGAGGTGATGTGGGCTGGTAGCGGTAGTGGTAGTTACAACCTGGAGGTTGTCTGCAGGCAGCAAAAGTGGAGGGTGCATGGTCCAAGAAAAATAAACACCTCCGCGAGAGGAACACGGTGGGAGGGATGAGCTTTCCTTCATGTTTATAAGCCAGAACTCATACGGGAGGTTCCAACAATAGGGGACCCCAATATAGTACCCTAAATGGTAGGCTAGGATAGCGGGGACCCCAACATAGTACCCTAAATGGTAGGCTAGGATAGCTATACCCCCTAATTTTCGGAAACTCCCACATGGCACGACAGGGCCACTTCGAAGCATGTCCTCGAGACCCCAACGCCTTTCTGTAAGAGGGTTTAGGGTTTAGGGTTTAGGGTTTAGGGTTTAGGGTTTAGGGTTTAGGGAGGGTGACCTCGACCTAGTAGTAGAGTAGGTGTCCTTTAACCTTTTTGGGGTAGAATGGCCCCTATATAATCCCCACATACCTAAAAATGTTGGCCTTTAGTTCCCCATAGTACCCGACAAGTAGGTACATAGATTTCTTAAATACTTAGAATAGGGTTTTGGGGGCCCACTATACTATAGTTATCATAAGGAGCCCCCAAAGTTGTATAGGTAATTATTTTATAAGGACTCTATAGTAAAACGCAAACGACAAGTAGTCGAGAACAGCCGTGGGTTTGGAAGTTAAGGGCTCTGCGCTTTGCAGTTTCGCGCGCGGTTTTAGTCCTGCGGCTGCCGGACTTCAAGGGACCTTGTAGTTATTATAGGCACTGCAACCCCGAAAAAAGAACATGTAAAATACGAAATGTAACCAAGTCCTGAAAATCTTCCATAGAACCTGTGCGAAATTGCATCACATCCGAAATGCCCTAAGAGTCCAAAGGACCCAATGATTAGGTACTTGGGTTTAGGATAGTAGTTATGCAGGTTACTGTTTTGGAGAATTCATGATCATTAGGTGCTTGGACCCTTAGGGTGTTCTGAAAATTCTAAAACCTAAACCCTGAACCCTAAACCCAAAACCCTGAAAACCCTAATCCCTAAACCCAAAGCCCGGTGTTTTGGTGGTTTCTGCGGGCGCCGGGTGCTGGAAGGCTTGCATCTGCCAATGCTGCAGATTCTGCGGCGGTCGTGCAGCTGGAAACCTCTGCCAGGCATTGGATCCTTGAAACCCTACGGTTGATGATATAAATCCTCCATTACCTTAAGGACCCGAAAGTATGGGAATTATGGTATATTCCTCATTATGGGTAATGCAGATTTATATCATCAACCGTAAATTAAATCATAGACCCTGAACCCTACATCCCAACCCCCCAAAGCCCAAATCGAATAATCTCCACGCCCAACGGGTTTGAGTTTACCCTGGGTTCAGGGCTCTGAAGCCCATCCTTAGGGGTCTAAAGTACTGAATAAATTTGGTTTTCAATTCGAAGATCGTAGTAGTGCGGGCTGCACTTGGATCTGTGCGGGTTGCGGATCAGGTGTCCACCTACCTGAAGTTAAGTGGAGCGCTGAGATCAGTGATGTCACCTTGAGACCTGAGAAGCCAGCATTTCCACGCTGTTCTAGGTATACGATTTTCCTCGGGAGGTGCGAGGTTTGTGTAGTCGACCCGGAGTCCGCGAAGCCCAAGGGTCCAAGAAACTACCGCTGCTAATACTACGACTACTACGACAACTGCTGCTACTACTACTTCTGCTATTGCGGTTGCTATTCTCATCGATATTCCTTTTCGCTGTTTGTGTGGCTACTCCGGTTGTGATGAAGCTCCTGTGCTGTGCTCAACTGAAACCGGCGGCTTCAGATTGAGGGTCTTCTGCAGAGTGGGCCAGCCCCAGATGAAGGTTTCTGCTTGCATGAGCCAGAGTGTGGGGTTTCTTGCATGTTTCCGAAGCCCTGAACCCTCAAATCGCACGTTGCCAAACTTTAAACTTTAACCCTGATCGAAACCTTCTGCAGGATCTTGTAGAACC